AATAGACTTTTGATCAATGCTTTTGATCAACGCTGCAAACACAAAGCATGAGACGAGCTGCAGCCATATTTTCCCCGTTTTTCTCCTTCTGAGGTGAAGTTGAAGCTGATGACTGTTTGATCCTGAGTCCGCAGAGCGTCTGCGGAGCAGCAGGTATATCTCAGAGATTGCTTTCTCTCGGATTAACCCATTTACCCCGCTGCGACACATGCTGCCTTGTTTAAACCCTTGTCAAACACAACAGTTGCCGCAATGTTTCCACTCGCTCTGCGCTCTTTCCAATCTACTTCCACAGTCTCATCAAGCCACATAAATCTCCAGATTTTCTTCAGGAACTTCTTAGAGTCGGTCAAACAACAAACGTGGTGCCGTTATAAATCTACCGCCTCAGACTGCGACTTTGATAGAGACCTAACGGAGGTTATTTAGCTGGCTGCTGCTTCAGGGACTCTGCTGACATGGGCCTCCTTTAGGCAAACACTGAGTGTGTTTTTATGGCCTGGACAGGTGTGACTGGTACACTTTATATCTTCCATTTACTCCATTAGATTGGTTTCCTTCCAGGAAGGAGCTGAAAGTGAGACTAAACAACGTTGGTCTGCCAGATGTGTCTTTTTAAATACAACTGGGGTTAGCTTAAACATACATTTGTTATCCTCTTTGTTTCATTCACTTAGTTTCATTCTTTCGTTATATAAATCGTTAAGGTTGTTGGATGTTTTCATCATAAAGAATATTTTTCTGTAATTTTAAATCTGAATTGGGTTTCACTGAGTTTTGGTTGAGTTAAGGGAGGGGTGTCAAACTCATTTTCATTTTGGGCCAAATCAAGATCAAGGACGCTCTTAAAGGATGGATTCACAAAAACTTTAAAATATTAATCAATTCTTAAAATGTATTAATATAAATGTTATATTAATGGTCATCATGTCGACGTAATTATATTGGCCGTCTTTTCATAATTGGTCATTCCCTCCAGGGAATGACCAATTATGAAAAGACGGAATTCCATCCTTGAATTGTTATGAATTCATCTTGAATTAAATGATTTAGCAGATGGAATATGTACTGGGAGATGCTTATTTCTGTCAGACTCTCACTCAAAAACAACTCCTTCAGTGTAAACTCCATTGTTCTGCTCCTACCCTCACGCCTAATTGGATGCCTTTGATACTGTATGAACAGAGAGGGACCCAGTTGGTGTGGATCCTCTAATGGACCCTCCAGTGGCTCTCACATTGATAACTCTCTCTGTGAAGACAGGCTCCGCGTGCGCCATCATGCAATAGGCAATCTAACATAAGTGGAAGAAAAAGTAAAAAGAAATTAGAGTTAATTTATAATATTGGATGCTGCCCAACATCTGACGCCCAGAATCCAACAGGAATACAAATTATGCTAATATAAACTTCAGGAGCCCTCTCAGTGGGTGTTTCAGTCAAAACTTATATGTTTGGGTCATATCATCTGTTTTATCCTTGAAGAGGCTCTGAATAACTTACAAGTTTAGATTTCAGGAGTTATTTGCAGTTTTACGGGTATCTACCGCCTTAGCAATTTTGGATTTACGAGGTAGAGCGGAGACGGTCTCTAAATCCTCAGCAGGCGATGAAGGGTCTGCGCTCGCTCTCCAGGTGCCAAGTGCTTGTCCAGTGAAACAGGTTCTGCACCCCCCGACCGCATCCACCAAACCTCCTCACACAACACTCCCGTGAGCTGCAGAGGGGGAAGCAGCGCCGATGAAGAGCGCTGTTGACATTCTCTGAAATTGCCTGAAAGCATTTTTTTCTCTCTAGGAGCTGGAAGAGGAAGACTTCAACTGTTAGATGGTGTGAAAAGAGCTGAAGACAGACACCATGTAGGAGAAAAACACCCAAAAAATGGAAAGAGACATCATTTCTATGGAGTAGATATTAAAAGTACTGTGAAGGTTAGAAAATGGAAAACAAAAATGCATCTTTTTATGTCACATTGTTACAGTTCCCTAAATGTATTGTTAATCAGAAACTAATGCAGCGTTCTCTAGCTTTTGGAAGCATGTTTTAGAGGGGTTGAACATCAATAAGATTAACAAAGAATTTCCAAAAAAATATGCAAAATCAACAGAAAAAATAATCGGACAATATTCTGTTGATTATAAGACATATCTCAGCACAATTAGCTTCATGTTTAGCATAAAAGTTTAGCATCTGGACTTTAGCAATCTAAGCTAAAATCCTAGCTTTGAGCAGAGTTGTACATGAATAAATTTCAACAAGCTCATTCATTAGTAGATCTAATGTCGATGCAGCTTTTTCAGACTTCTATGCAGTAGCGGGCATCGCTAACTAAAATTATAATTCCCCTAACCCTACAAAATAATCATACATTTTAGCTTACACAATATTTAGAAGATGCTAATGCAAAAGAATTAAAAAATTAACTTAAATTTTGAGCAGGTCTTGAAAGACTACGACCCTCCATCACCAATTTCACATATTTTATTTTACATATTTACATAATTCTACATATTTTATTTTGCATGTATATATCTTCTTCTCTGGTGTCCCCCTTCTAAATAAGACCATGAATATTAACGTCTAACAACTTGAAAAAAATTTTTAACAGTCAATGAACAAAGCGTCTGCAGAAATATTAGCTTTATTCAGCTAAAAGTCTTCAGAACAGCCAAATAAATTAGCGTTTTAGAATTTATTTTGGAGAAATTAACTGTGCTAAACAAAACATTTGTTCCTCTATTAGGTGATTTGCAGAATTTTGCCGTCCGCTGTTTTTGAGATGATGACTCTGTTTAAAGGTGAATACTATGTCAGCAGAAACTTTCAGGTCTTTTTCTTTTCCAGAAAAGAATGATTTTCCCTCAAAGGCCAGTGTTTTGTGGTTGCTCTGTCTGCCTGTGGGCACAGGCTTTGTGGGGAGAGGTGTATGAAATATGTATCCCTCATGCTTCAAAACTACCAGCATGAACTAAAGGCTGTGTCCTAACCAACTGAGTTTTTTCTTTTTCTTATGCTGGTCGAGAATCTGCTGCAAACAGCATAGGGGTGTTTGCAGGTAAAGCTGAGAGGAACTCCTGATCCTATCTCTCATGTTCACCTCACTTTTAGGTATAGGTGAAAAAATATTTCATCAGATCATTTATACTTGTAACATTCAAGGTCATTGGTTTTCTTGGAAAGGCTTTTCACAAGGTCAAGGGTTTTCACAAGGTCAAGGGTTGTGTTCATAGGAGTATTTTATCTTTCTTCTAGAAATGCATTTGTGAGGTCAGACACTAGTGTTGGTTTCAGGTCAGAACTCTACTCACCATCAAAGTTGGGCGCATAAAATCACCTGAAGTTGCTTTGTGTGCTTTTCACTGGACCTACTGGGAGGAGTCCTTCTTCTGACAGCTTTTCACCATAATCCAATCAGCATCAAACTTTACACTTCAGTTCATGCTGCCAAGTGATGTTGCCTTCTCAGCTACCAATGCAGACGGAGAAGTTTATAACTCCAGCTCTGAGTCCAGTGATGGCATGTTTCACACTTAGCATTACACCTGGTGATGTAAGGCTGCTTGGCCATTAAAACCTCTTCCACAGAGTTCTCTGCATTGCTCTTATGGTATCTGAGGGTCATTACCACTAACAGTTGAACAGGGGAATATCTACTGGAGTTTTGTATATTGATAACCATGGAAGTAATTGGATCACCTGACAGGGCAACAACAGAACCCTGCAAATACTGAGTTGTTTGCTAAAATGGCACAAACAAAACAAAGTTATAATGTATCATATTGAATTTTTCAGCCGTTTGTCTCTTCAAACAGTCTATTATATGGACTCAAGTGCAGAAAATGATTATTTTCATAGTGCACCCTCCTCTAATACCAGTTTTCCGTCAGCATAAATGCTGTGCCATTGGTCTCTTTTCTTCTCTTACTCCCTTAATTGCCTCTGTGCCTTTCTATGTTGTCATTTCAAATGCAGCGGCTCAATCTCTTGTGAATATATCAAAACTGCATTATTACCTGGGTCAAGCCATGAGGTGCAGCTTAAATGATAAGCATGCAAATGAAGTGATGTGTTATTCCATTTTGTAAGGCATACAGCGCCTATAATGTCTGGTGCTTGGAGGACCCCGGGGCACCTGCAGCGTAACATCAATTACTCACAGAAAACGCAGATGATTGAACAGGTAGGTGGCAACAGAAGATGTTGAGTGAATTGGATGATGAGCGGACGTGATGATTTTAATGATTACAAAAGTGGGAATATTGGAGAAAAATTGGTAGCTGGCATGACAGAGTACTTTATTTACTTGGGCTGAGAAATATGTAAGAAGGATCGAGCCAATTCTAGGGACACTAAAGAGCAGAGTGGTGCTGCAATGTAAAAAGGAGCGCGGATGAACTTTACAGGGTTTCGGTGAGGCACATACTAAGAATGTTTGAGTCACGGTGTGTGAGAGTTCCTGAGGGTTTTAGCAAACACAAAGGTTCTACATAGAGCTTGGAGGATTGTTGTTGTGACTTATCCATGACATAAGGCTCATGCATATCAATGTAGCTGGCATTGCTTCAAGCAAAATCCTGCAACGGTCTTGGCAGGGTGATTTTTATGCCCTCTCTTCCTCCAACCAAGGGGATCGTGCATGCTCTGATCGCACTGTCACGCTCTCCAGGGGGTAATAGATACTCTGCCGTGCTCAAACGACATTCAACTGCTATTTTGGACAGAAGGCAAGAAGCTACACCAACTGGGTGAGGAAGAAATAAAATTGCAGAAAACTCTGTCATCTCCATCATACTGCTGATTACTTGATTATCACAGTACGCTAATTCAAAAAATACTGATGATCTCATGATGACAGAATTTTTTATGTTTATTATTCTCCACAGCCTGGCTGATACTGATAGTGAAGGCATAGTGTTATTTCAGTTATTCAGTGCATATCCATATACAACCACTAGGGGGCGCGAGTCGCATTGATGCCTTGGGGAAGGTTGAGCACACAGAAGAAGAGAAATGTTAGCTGGCAAAGGAAAAGGTCAGCATCTGAGTGTCGTATTTTCTACATCACAGGTCAGTAAAAATGCATTTTGATGCGTAAATGTTGGCACCCTTTAAGAGCTGGAGAGGTTATTGAATCGAGAGGCAACCAGTTAGTCACTTTAGGCAGCTTTTGATTAGTTTTGTGTAGAAAACGGAACGTATTCCCGGAGGCTAATTAATGCTAATGCGAGCGAACGTTGAGCTAGCTGAGAAACAGTTGAAGGACTGTTGAATTCACCTTGAACTTACTGTAATTTTCACTTTTTGAAACGGTAAGAGACATTTTTCTGGTGTCTTTATGAGTTATTGGAAAAAACACATAAACAACGTTGTTGTCCAATTCAATGAGTAAATGGCTGCATAAAAAGACAGTATTAACGGAGCAGTTTAGTAATTTTTTGTGAAAGAGATAAAATAATTTTGTTAAAGCTAGATTGCTTCAATATTAAAGTAAATGTTGTGCAAATTAAAAATTGGAAAAGCTATTAAATAGTTAAAAGCAAATCCATATGTTTTTATTTTAACAGTTGAAAATCAAAAAGGTCTGAGAAAAAGGCACAAAATATTTGAGTTAAAACAAAACTTTGGGTTTTATGTCAAATCCACATGAATTAAATGATGGAAACTAATTTTCTCACTGTATCTTTGTTTCTTTTTGTCCAGGTGCAGACTGTTAGACTATGTCCAATCAGAGTCAGGTATTGTGTAATTGGTGCTTTTAATCAGTTTTCAGTTAATTAAATCCAAGTCTATGGAACACGAAATGTCACTAAAATCACTGTCCTTCTAAAACATTTCAGAAAATCGTGAAAGTGCATCAAACTGTATCGGATTGCCAAATATTATGATAGATATTGTATTGTGAATACCATATATTGTGTTGTATCATGAGGTTATCGTATCGCTACACCCCTAATACAAACCTTGGTCTTGGTTTGGTTGAAGTGAACTCTGGTTTGGTTTGAATGCATATGTGGATGCAAAAGCAGAAAGTGGACTATAGTTCAAGGCATTCTGGGTAAATACAACCAGAACAAGCCTGAGAGTCTCGCTTTAGCAGGAGAAATGATTTGTGATCTTTTACCAAAGACAGAAGAAAAACTCTACAACTGTTATAATCTTTTTGTTTGCATTTTGTGCAAAAGGAAATTACACTCATGTCTTCTTCTGAGGTTTTTTGTGTTTTTCAGCAGTTCTTGGTGTGGAGCCACCTCAGGGACAGCTTTTTCAATTAGCTTGGATCATTTGACACAATGCAATGCGAAAATGAACCACAAGAGCTTGAAAAGTAATAAATATTCAAACTGAGTCTGCTGGACTCTCCGGTGTGAAAACACACTTACTAGGTGGGTACTGTGATCAGAGAGCATTGATGAAGTGTTTGTATCAAGCTGAGTTTCTTAAAAGTACAACAAGCTCGTCTGATTATTAGCTTGCTTTGTGGAAGCTACTGAAGTCCAGAGGACAGGCAGCAGAGACGGATGAAAGTACAGAACATAGGAAACTTTCCCCAAACAGACCAACTACATGTGAGGAAGAAGAAGTGTTTTTCACAACTGTCCTTTTCATCTCTCGCACTTTCTCATCTCTTACTCTTTCTGCTCTCTCTTTCTCTTCATCTCACTCCAGGGAAGATGAAAGCGAGCGCTGCCACTGGCTGTGAACTCCCCTGGACATGAACATACTACTGCTTTGGTGTGTTTGTGTGTACTTTGGCTCATGCAGCTCAGATAACTTTGTTGTTTCCACTTGTAACCAGAAATTGGAAGACAGTAGAGCTATTCTATGCAGGACATTTATTTATTGCAACTACTGCAATATTTTTAATAGAGACTATTTTTTCTTCTCATCTCTGAATACCCCTGTTTAATCAAATCAATTCTTAAGTAGTTTGTTTTGCTTTAGAGTAATTTTTAGTCAGATTAATGTCATAAAAAGTGAAAAATTTTCATCCTTTTCACAACGTTACAGGATTTAGGTTCATCATCTGTAAGGATTACAACACTGAGTTTTATCTGCTGCATTTCAGTTCCTACCGTCAATCTTGCCCCAGGCTATGCTGACGACACCTCGACTCCTGAGAAAAAAACACTAAAGATTTTACAAAAACCGCCTTTACGCAGATCCAAAGATGGATTCAGGTGAAGCAACACTCCTTAAAGTTAGGTACGTACTCTCAGTATGAAGAATGAATATTTCTGTGGCACTGAGTTTTGAAACCATCTTTTTCACTTTTATTGTGGACCTAATCATTGTCATTTTACAATGATTTTACAAAAGTTTTGGACTTTTGACCTCTGGTACATTATAAACAACACCGATACTCATTAAAAAGTACGCCACATTACAACATCTTGGTTCTACTTTCTCAGTTTTGCGGTTTTCAAAGCTGACCTTACTAACCTACTTAGAAAAATGGGTATACATATATATGTTTATGTATATGGGGACAAAATCACATGCGGAGTTCCTCAAGGTTCCATTGTCAAAATCTACATACATGCTGCCCCGACTCATTTTATGCTTTATTGATATTGTCTTTCACTATCTCTCACTGTGGTTACATTGACAACACAAAACCTTATGGTTCTTATTAATTTCTCAAACCACTTGGGTCACTTTGGCAGCATGTTTTTTCCTTCGATTTGATACAGAAAATGCTGAAACTGAGTTCTTTTAAATCAAGGCTATAAGCTCACTTTAGAGTTACTGTTGATTTTTAAAATTACCTGAAACATTTTTAATTTTAGGCTGCAGTCCAATTTTACTTCACTTTTTTTGTATTATACCACTATAAATAAGAAAAAACTTGCATCATCTGTGTGATAAACAGCATCATTGTTTTGTGTTGGTAACGTTCGAGAACAACACTTAGCTAGACTGGTGAAGCTAAAAACTCCAGAAATGTCAGAAAACTAGGTGTAAAGATGAACTGTAAAAACATATTATTTATATTTTTAGTTTGATTTTCTTAAAGATGTCAGTAAAAACCACAAACAATAAGAAGCTGCAGCTCATCCTAAATATTGTGACTTATTTATTTAAATATAAATCTGCGTTTCCCTACATCTTTTCAATAAATTTCTACATTAAATAAACATTTCTTTAAACAACGCTGTAATAATTGATGCTGTTGATATAAGCCTGCTTTGCCTTTGAATTGAATTTCCAATTTTTATTTCGGATCCAGTCATGGTAAGCAATCATTCAGTAGTTGTTCCGTTTTTAAATTGGCCTGTGTGTGATATGAATGTCAAAGGCTTTCAATGTCCTTTTTGTAAAAGTCTCGAGAGGTTTCTTTTTTTTCTAATCCCTGGAAGCAACATTAAACTCAATATTGAAAAATTGAAAGAATATGGCACCATCACAAGTCTGCCAAGAACGAGTAGACCACCCAAACTCACAGAGCAGGAAAGGAGGGCCACAGGCCAAAGACAACCCTGAGGGAGCCGCAGAGCCCCACAGCAGAGATCGGCGCGTCGGTCCACTGAACTACTGCACAGGGTACGGTCCAAAAAGCTGGACTTCATGGTAGAACGGCCAGAGAAAAAAAGGCTTGGCTTAGGAACACTGATGGTATCGAATATTGGTGGCGTTGCTTTTACGCTTGGTGGGCGTGTGATATTACAAGCCGCATGGACTCTAGTGAAAAACAGATTTATTGGTTTAAATGTTGAAAAGCAAGGCGCTGTCTTCTTCTTTTTTTTTTTTTTTAAAGTTGAATGATGGATATCAAACAATGCAATGCCAAATCAAGGCCAACTGTTTTAAAAAATAACATCTGAGCATGTTTCATAGTAAAAACAAATCAACGTTGGTGTTTCAAACTTATGTAAAACTTAGAAAATGCATCTCAGACGCACACAAAAGTTGTAGTCCAATAAACTAACTAAAGAACTGCTGAATTAGAAACAGTCCAATAAAAGTTGGACCTTTGGAATTGGCTCATTTACAGAATTACAAGTAATAACATAAAACATGAGACAATATGGCTGAAAAACTTATCACAATATAAGCACTTCATATCAGCTAATATCAATAATTATTGATTTTTGTTTGTTTGTTTCAAATATCTGCAGTACCTCCAAACTGGTATTTCAGATAACTGCTTATTTTTAAGCAGTTATGAGGCAAAACCTGAAACTGCTGCTGCCCCAGCAGGTTGTTGCTAGGTAACCAAAGAGTAAGTTATTGATTCCATTCAGTTAGCTTAGCTGGATGCCTACATCTCCCAGAATGCTGTGTGTTCTGGATTAGAGTTCAGTGAATATTCTATACATTGACTATTTAATAGTGTAGTAGAAGTGTTATCCATTGATATTTATCACAATATTGTTGGTTTTTTGTCAGTTGTGCTTGCATTTCTGGATGCAAGTTGCAAAGCAGTAAAAATATTTCAAAAAAAGCAAAAAAATAGATCAAATACAGCAAGAATTACTGCTGAAAGGGGGAAAATGACGGTGTGAAACAACAGTATTTGTTTCATGGTGTAAATTCAGATTGAAACGTTTTCAGTTGGATGTTTTATTTTCTTTCCGGAGCATTTTTAAGAGGAGGGTGTGCGGAAAGTGTGGAGCTCTCATGTTTTTAGGCCACTGCACTGAATGTGGGTCTAGCAGATGTAAGACTTGGGTGGGGTGGATGGGTGGAGGTTCGGTGGGGTTTTCTCTTTTTTTTTTTTTTTTTTTTTTTTTTTTTTTTTTTTTTTTTTTTGTCTTTTTTTTTTCTTTGTTTTTTTTTTTTTTTGCAGCTGATGACTTCAGAATCAGAGCAAACAATGCAGCCCAGCTGCTTCTTCTGCTGAGCTGTGCAAATGTCACGTACAGAAATAGAAAAGTTGAGCACGAAGCTGTGGCTGTGCTGCAGGAAAGCACTTTCTCTGCAGGTGTAAAAATCTGTGTTGGTGGCTGTGGACCAAACGTGAAAAATGACCAAGAATTCCTTAAAAGCCCAAAGACGATCAGCCTCTAGAAACAAACTATGTTGAAGATGTCACAATGTCAACAAGAACTGAAAGGTATATTATTACCGTGCAGGTGCTGGTATCTTTAGCATACTCCAGGTGAACCGAAACAAAATCTTGTTTTCAGAAAATTTGTTCTGCTGGTTTTGTTTCAGATTTTATCAACTAAAAAATGTGGTAGAAAATGAAAAAATATTCAATGGAAACTGAACACAAAATGTTCAGCAGAGACAGCTGAGCCTCCGTCATGATTGCAGAAGCTTTCACTGCATAATATGTTGGTGCCACTCTCAGTTTCATCCGCCATTGTACAAAGAGACCGACAACGCCTCGTCCCAGCGCACATCTAGCAATTTTGACTCATTTGACGTGCGTCTAGAGCACAATGCCAAGCGTCTCGCTTCAAAGTTGAAGTGTCAGACGAGTTTTTCACACGTAAAATGGTTTCGGTGTGAACGCAGCATTAATGGTTGACGAAACCTCAGTGATTGATTCTCTCTTGTCACTTTAAGATGGAGATTTTTCTGACTTTTTCATAAACTTGTCTGATATTTTCTTATGAAAATGCAGCTTGAGGCAGTGCTACCTCACACATGATGGTTCTCAAGGTGCTCCATTTATTTTTCATGCTGCTGATTGGCTGTACCCTTAAAAGCAGATATACGTATGGTGATGCTGAGATGGTTTCCACTGTCCTTATTAATGTATCGAAAGAAATATTTGGTGTTTGAACAATAAAAATAGCAGCTATTATGTGAATACTGTATTCTATCAGCATTTTCATTGAAATCGTGAATAGTTGAAGCTAAAATGTAGTGTCACTTTAGGCCTTCTTGAAGTAAGATGAAAACTTGTAAAAAGTAATATTTTAGTTTTTTATTTATTTCTTTAAGTCGTGCTTTCTGAACCTGAACTAAAACAAATGTCTGAGGAAGGTTCTGTTCTGTTCACAAGTTGTAAGTTTCAAAGGGAACTAAAAACAGTCACTCATTTTTATGCTTTTGGCTCTTGTGTTTTCGAGTTTCTGTGTTTTAGGTTTTCTGTAATTTGAGGGTCTGTCAACAGAAACCAGTTGACAGATGATAATCCGTGACTATTTGGCTATTTTAAAGCTTTTTAAACACAGTTTTGAAGGTTTTAGCCAGACTCTGATGACTAAAATTAAATCTTGTATATATAAGCTTTCTGTTTAGTTTGTTGCGGTTTTCCACACTTTATTTCCTCCACTATGATTTGATTGGCTTCCTTAATGTGGACCTTGCAAGTTTGCACCCTCAGTTGTAACGCAGATGTCATTAGTTTTCTGTGCCATTACTGGATTTTTAATCACAGTTCCCATAGTCTCTCTACATAAAGCTTTTTCCCTGCTGAATATGAACAAAATGTTGTAAATGAAGTCTTTTCTTCAGGTTTCCAACCTTTGAGACCGTTCTGGTTCCACATCAAAGAGCTTTTAAATTCTTCCGATTCTTGTGGGACTTTGCCAGTCAAAATTGTTTAGCTGATCATTTTCCAGGGATTAGGGGAATTTTTCCTGTTTAATGTGAATTTTAGTCTCCTTTTAATCAGTGGGTAAAAGGAACAATCACTTACATCACTGAGCCGGGGAGCGCCGCTTCTCCACCAGGCCACAGCGTACTGCTTATTTATCCAGCATCTGAGGCTCGCGAGGTTTATTTTATCAGAGTGAAACTCCAGTATCTGCCCAGATTTCTGTGGAGTGGCGTGCCTCATCTGGCCTCTTTGTTTTGCAGCAGATGTGGAGAAGTGGATGGGAGATGGTGTGAGTGCGGGGCAACCGGGGGAAAGAATCTGCCCACTGAGGCCTTTATAGTGGAAATGTTTCAGCCTTGAAGTAATTGGATCGCTTAAATGCTTGCTGACAGATACATGCGTAAAAAACCCACGGAGCTTGGCGAATTTAATACTTTTGAAAAACAAAACTTCTTCAGTTGTTTATGTATTGGGTTCCATATGTTTGTCTTGTTTCATTAAGTTTATAAGCCAGCAAAATGATTGGTTGAAATGAGAAAACATGTGCTACATTCAGAGTTTTTATACAATTATTCACCAGGGCACAAGTGCACGGACTGAAGACGGATTTGTTGATGGATTTAGCAGGAACAAACTGTAACCATTATGTCAGTTAAACTGACAGTGGGAGTTTATTCTCATGGCTCATTTCCTGACATGTCTGGAACGTTTTGCATGTTGGTTGTGTCAAAGGTCGTGGATCTGTCTTGGTGTAGCTTTGTTAGACAGACCTGCACATATTTAGGTAATCAAGTCCTACTCTGGTCAACCAAAAATCAGAATTCAATAGTCATAAAGT